GCTGGATGATTGCACTCTACCACTGTAGTCATCCCAGTGCTTGCAAAACCAAAGCCATGCAATGTGACACGTACGTTCCAAGATAGTGAACGATTCGCCGTGATCCTTCTGATAGCTGACCAAAAATCAGCACAAGAAATAACCTACCCACCTACCCGTTCGCCCAATGTATTTTTAATTTAATAATAAAAGAGTAAAGATATGTAGTTACAAATGAGGGTAGATCATTAAGCTTATCTAAATGTCCATGCCGAATTTTTTTGACATCGAAATCTATCAATAATCTTGTGTGCAGCGCAGTAATTCTCTTGTTTTGCAATATTTGGCTTTAATTTATAAAATCAGCAAATATGCTTTAGTGCATGAATCGAAATTTTGAAGAACGTTTGAAATGACAAAAAAAATCAAGATGTGACCAGGAACTCATCCCTGTTCTTTTTCAGTGTTCTTCAACAATTTTTCAGTATGACACAGGAAAGTGACAGTGATTAAAGGACTTGACACACGGCTATAAATCAAAATGCAGGTGTGTTCAAAACTCTTCCCTCGTTGGCACCACCAACTAGCTGTAAACACATTGGATGAAAAAATTTTTTTAAATGCAACATCTCGTTGAGGCAAACTAGCTTATTTGATTATCTTTGCCGTAGCAATGAACTTTGCAAACATCAATTTAACACACTATTTCTAAAAGTCAGACATAACAAATCTACGTTAATCTGCTGTTTAAGCTCCGTTACCTCTGACGACTATAAAAAAACTAACAAGAATAAATGAATGAAACCCATAACGGCGAATGAAATGTTTGCTTTTCCACTGTTTTTTAATAGATGTTTTTATAACATATCTCAATCACTTTACACATATGTTTCATTCATAAGTTCGCCATTTTGTGCAACGGTGTTGTGTTTCTGCAAAATCATTCTCTCCTTGGTATCTGCGTTTCGTTTTCTTTCCCATATGCAAAATAACGACAGAATACCAATTGTACTCACACACTCACACAGTGAATCAATTATCTATTCGTGTCATTCATCTTGACAACCAATGAAGCATGACTCGAAAACGTCGACCCGTTTTATAACGAGAATAACTTCAGAAGCAGCACTGTTGCCAACCAATCAATCAAAATCAACTAATTATTCTCCCGCTTAAACGAATCTCGGCCATTTTTCAATGTAGAAGAAAGTAGGTAGTAACCTTGGCCCCTCTGCCATCATAGGAAAAAACGAAAGCGAAGTTTCGGCACGTTTTGTTCAGCAGCTGAAAAAATCTAAGACAATTTTAAAGTCAACGCAAATGGTCTATAAAATTAATTGCTTCGTTGCACTCCAACCTAATTACGCATTCTGGCACGTTCGCACAAAGCTTTTTCACCAACTTCATTTCTAACTCTGATGCCAATCGTAGCAATCGTTTAAGAATGCTAAAAAAATACTGTTTTCAGTCAAACAGGTAACTTCCACTTATAGATAGGAGAAACCAGAATTTTTAGCTGGTGATTTGGTTATCTTTTTAAAACGAAATGTAAGCTGGGAATAAACTGACTGCGGAATTCGAATGAAAAATTTCATGTCATTTCAACTACAACGAGTATATAAAAATTCAAAGAATTTGGATAGCTCTTGGATCCACTGCAGTCATAACTAAAATTTTAAATCACTCGGTGCACGGAACCTGCTAATAATCATCAAAATAACGAACGAAACTGTATTCTTTCCTTGAATTTTTTTCCTCTAAAGGAATATCGTTTCGATAGCGGGAATTTAAAACCAGTATCTTACCTATGGCTCAGATCATGGCTGCACGGATGAACAAGATGATTTTCTTACAGGACCGTTTGAAGCAATGATCGAACAACAGGTCAAACCTAGCTATCTAGGGGGACTAGCAGGGGACGGTGGTCCCATTCGTTCCACATAAGTTTGTTAACTGAAGAATCCGTCCCAAGACAAGGCTACTTTAAAAAGCATAAGGAACTCAATCAATCAAGGCTACTGGTTATCTTCCCAAGTAAACTGTTCATGGATTTATGATAGGTCATTGCAACTGCTGTAAAGGTTCCGGAGGGGATGGGCACTCCATCTTATGCCCCCTGTAAGATAAATCTGTCTTCATCGTTAAATATACCCTATTCGAATTTTGGGCAGCAGCGATGGAGTAGTCCTCCCTGACAATATTTAAATGAAGATCGGTTTCACACCACAAAATATGGCATCAGTAAGTAATCGAAGTCTAAGGCATACCTCGTCAAACGGCTATTAACATTTTTTTCGTTTTCGAACTGGTTAAGAATACAGGAACTAATTAATAATTTTTATAAATAAACGCTTAATTTACTTCACCGCTCAGACCTTACAAACATAACTGCTGTTTATATTTGTGCTAATTTGGTTAATGTACGTGAAATCCGTGGTGACTGCTTCTGTATGAGAAGCAAAAACTTTGGGGATATGCCAAAGGACATTGCTTTATTAAAGAGGTTGATAAATTATGTTTTGATTATTACACATGCATAAACTAATTTTGGAAGATACAAATGCTAGAGAAACTAAAGCAATGTTTCATTAATATTAGGTTGATTTTGGCATAAAGCTGAAATATGTCAGCAACACTCATTTTGGTCATAATTATAGCCTATGTTTGATTATACATGTGTACATTTCTCTAAGAGTAGGTGCTTGCGGTCGATGATTTTACTTACTGCAACATAACATTTTACATACAACCCTTGTCAGTGATGGTCGTTCAGAAGTGCATTCAAAAAAAACTGAACGATCTTCGACCGAAGCGAATGATTGTTGGTTAAGAGTGAATAAATTAAATTAATAGCATATTCTGAAGATTCCTTTTTATAAACTAAGGTTACTGTAAAAAAAATGCCCTAAAAGTTTTGTTTAGCATTTTTCCTGAACCAGAAAAATTATCACCTTCAGCTGTATGAAGCTGTCAAACGTAAGAAACGTCTGTTTAGAAATTCCATAAATTTTCAGCTTTAGAACCGACAAATGTGTAACTGCACAATCGATAGTTAAACCGATCGAATCGAATTGCCTTTGTTTGAAAAAATTCCAAATGGTCGAATTAAGTAACTTTCACCCTTATAAAAGAACGCAAGGCAATACTGTATACACTGAGTACAAAAAAAACTATTATGTACTCCTTCTCGAGACATTTTCCTTCATCTGCCTACAAGATTAACCTACTAATTAGTTGTGGCGCTAATCCGGCAATCTACTCTTAGTCGTCGAAGAAGGACAATAAAATTCTTCGCGGCACAATCATCCTGATCTCCAAAATTGACGAAGATTAACTGGTCGCACCAAATGGGAATAATGCTCTCAAACTTTTGCAGCAATCGTTTTATACACTCCGGAACTAAAACCAGCCTTAGCACATTTCCAGCCAGAACCGAACCATATCACCGTTGCAGACAATCCTTCAATTTCTACAGTAATCAGATATCCTATGGAGCAGAAGTGCTTTGCTACACAGTTACGAAGTATTCATTAGAATAACAGAATCTCTGCTACTTCTGTTCGTACATTAATTCGGTTCTACCTATGCAGAAAAATAGCTTATATTGAAAAGGTCTCCAATATCACCGCATCACCGAATCAACCTAAACCTGAACTAAAAATGGACATCTCAAATCTTAAGCAGCCTGTAGTTCTTTAAAAGCAGTTAAAGTATTCGTGGCAAAATAACAACATAAAGTAATAACCATGCGGTTTCGTTGACAATACGGTGAAGTGTAAAGTATAATGGAAGACAGCTTCGGACAAGTAATTCTGACAGACGAGAACAGTGGAAATAATTTCTGATTCGTAGTAATGATGCGAGAAAATAAAAGAAAAATTACGAAGACAATGACGGAACCGTCACAATCTTTTAAAGGATCGGATAAACAGACATTAGGAACAACGGTGCAGCATTATTCCTTGTCTCTTTTCGAATATAATCTCTTTTTTTACGTCTTTGCGCCCTCTTCCACCAGCTAAAATACATGTTCGATTATAAATACAGTGACCCTTAAATTTCAAAATAAACTTTCTTCCCAAACAGTATACATGGCATAAATAAGACGTGGTTTGAGTAAACGTAATGAACTGATTTACTGCCAAAACTTTAAGACACTAATTGCCCAAAGTTGCCTTAGTTGGGGACCGACCGCTTACAGAACAGAAGTTTTATACGAAATTTTTCTGATTTTGAAGAAAGCCACCTAAAACAAACAGACAATGAACTTGAAAAGAGGCTACAGTTTCGAAAGGCCCGCCAGGTATTAAAGTTAAGGAAAGTGTTTTTGAGTGACTGCTTCAAATGATATTAGGTCAAAACGAAGCGTTTACAGAAGCGACGAGGAGGAAAGAAACTAGTATAATGGAATGAAAAGGAAAAAAGAGGCTCGAAGACTATTTGCTAACAAAAACTGGACTCAGCCATTGTTAGTGGCCCTAACAGAACTACTAGTAATCGCTCGTGTCACGCTAAGGTAACAGTTTTGTGATTCATAACTTAGACAGTTATGCCGGGAGCGGCTCCGATCAAATGCAAGACAACATTGTGTCGACAGCATTCTTCGAACAAATCCTAATCAATGAGACGGATAAATAAAAGTAGCACTAAGAGAGAACAACGCTGAGAAAGCAACTTAGACATGTAGCTATGAACAAGCAAACCTCTTTTAATATGAGCGCGTAAATCATGAAAAATAAAAGACGCGTGAAAATTGTTCGATCTCAAATCCGCATATGAAATCTCATATTTTAAGTACATACAGAGATAAAGCAACCTCATGAGAACCACATTATAAGAATGACGAGAAGGCCGGAGAATTGCTGAATAACAGGAAAGAAAACTGAAACGAGAAAGAAATGAACGACACAGCCTTAATAGCAGAATATCGGCGACAACTGAAACCGTTTTCTTCGGAAAAAATATGATGACGTCATTTTAACAAGTTTGTCATGGGAGATGATGGTGAAGAATTACTGAATTATGGAATACGAAAATACTAAAGAAGATATTCTTCATTAGCAAATGCTATGATTCACCAGAATCTTAATATTGGTTGTGTTAGAGTATTTTCTCCTGATACATTCGTTGATCGTATACCCTGTTCCTGCGTTAGTAGTCATATTGGTAAAAAACAAAAACATTAAAGACTTACACCAATATAGGCCCCCAAATGGATGACGCAACCTCTGCTATAAACGACGTCAACAACAACCCAACTTTTCTATCCCGTTTGTTTTGGAAATACGGACCTAAACTTCGACAGTGGTCTATCATTCAATGCATGTCTATATTTTGTGCATAATTAAATCGCTTTATATTGTTTTCTACTTCTGATACATAACTAGCTCAATGAAAATATTTGGCGCGTATTTCATAATTACAATTATT